GTATTGGTAATTATTGAGGCCTCTACATCAATTAGGCGGTTTTGGGGGGGACTCCGGCATAAGCCCTGGAGTGCCTACGGTTTGACATGCAGCTGTGCTTAAAGTGGCCCTGGCTCAGCATAACATGATGAATCTACCCCTAAACCCTAAACCCTTATTCAGCATAAAATGCTTACTCAGGATAAAAAGGATGCATCTACAGCAAATATAATGGGTAGCCAGGGTCTAATGGAGGCTAGAATAGATGGAGGGTCTAGGCAGAAGAGGAATCACAGGAATTCGAATGCCGCCTTCTACGATGATGACGTCAGCCTGTCGCTGGGCTGATGCCACGGCCTCCTCCACGGCCTCCTCCAGCTTCGCCCAGTCGGTAAACTGCTTTCCCTCCCAGGTCCTGCGACCAATAATTCGAAGGAGTTTAGGTTAGGGTTGCGGGGACTCTTTTAAATAGTAGACAACTCTATTATATCAGGGAAGGAAAACAGAAACAACATTGGTAGTTGTTCAGGCTTCTACATTAATCCGGATCAAGATTCAGGTTCTAGGATCTGGGCTGTATACCTCATCAAAGACACAATAAAATGCGATGCATGCGACTTTTGCGTAAGGTCTTGGCTCAAGCCTTACCATACTGCATTCGGATGGGCTTTCAGGTCCAGGTGACGGGTCTACTTGCAGGTTTTGGGGCTTGGCAAGTAGCTTGCACAGTTGCGTCGATCCCCTGAACCCCTAAACCCCTAAACCTGTGAACCCATGGACCCTAAACCCTAAGACTCTACACCCCGGAACCGAGACGGCAAGCACAAGTGTCCTGAAGCCGTCGGGTGTTCGATTGTCCCAACTCCTCTGGCGGTACCAATCCTCCGCCCCCCCACACCCGCGCCCCCAAAGTTGTAGGGTTTTGTGACGGGCTTACAGATGAGACTGTTGTGCCTATTCGCATTTTTCTTGGACAGATGCGGCCCTATAGGTCCGATGTGTAGGATGGGGTTCAATGGATCGTGGGCTTGTGTAGGATGTAGACCCTGAGTTGTAGGACGATTTTCAGGATAGCCGATTGTATGGTCTTCCTACAAACCTATGCAGCCCAATACAGGAACCCTATCGGGAGGCTTTAGGCTGCAAGGTAACCCTACCTATAGTCTCCATTGTAGTTCCTTTTTCTGGTTTAACCAATTATATATTAAGAGTTCTATAAGGTATCCCCAAAAAGGAACTACAATCGAGACTGTAGGTAGACTCAATAATTACCCTGAGCAGTTTTAGACCAGCATCGACCCCGAAACAATGAAAGAGCTCAACCAGGACCACTGCGACTAGGACGACGCAACAAACAGAAACCACGAGGAGACCCAGGAAACCACCACCAGCTGTCTGGCTCCAGGAGAACCAAGGGAGGTGCTCCCACAGGTTTTGGGTTTAGGGTTCACAAGTACTGGTGCGATTCAAGATGAATCGGGTTTCTCGGAGACTCGTGTCCACCGATGCTGTAAGCAATGATAGAACCTGAAGGCAAAATATGCACCACGCCACAGCGGAAGCCGCGTCTCGATATAGTATAGAGTGTGCGTCACCCTGTTTGCGGAAAAAAACCCATAAAACCAAGCATAAAAGCCTTTTTGAGAGAAGACCCCAAACCCTCAACCTAAACCCAAAACCCAAAACCAACAACCCTGCACCCCCCAACCTGCTCCACCAGCGTGGTAGCGATGCCTGCGGCTCGACAGCGGCGCTCTAACTCGAAAGCGAGCGTGCTCTTGCCAGAACCTCGAGCTGTCGAACTTAGGCTTTGGGGGAACCTCTGGCTACTAGTCTACACTTGCAATGTATGTTTTTTTTTTTTTTTTTT